CTGTGGACAGTGCTGTGGCTGTAATGCACGTTGGAAATATACAGCATGTCGCATTTGGCAGGCCGTGATGCTTGTCGAACGCGGTTCTTGCAATGAATGGGACGGCACCACAACCACATGAATATGGGCATGGGACACGGGCAATAAAAAATCCCCATTGGCATTTTAAAAAGCTGTATTAGGATGCTCCTCCTGTATGCCAGCCAGCCACTGATCACTTTTCAGAGGGTGGCGGAGGCTGCTATCCATGTGAACAAGACCTACAAGAGGTTGAACAAGCAGAATGCATAGTGTGTGGTACTCTTTAGGAAAACATTAGATTGAGGCCTGGTTCACACCTGGGCGTTTTACAGCGCGTTCCTACACGCTGTAAAACGTTTAACATGTGAAAATAAGACACTGTCTTATATTTTTTTTGCCCCCAAAAACCACACTAGGTCTTATTTTCAGGGGATGTCTTATTTTTTTTTAATGTGCAACAAAATGTACAACAATCCAAAGTTATTTGGTATCACTCCGCCTGTCACAGTAACTGGCGCTATAGAGGAATATCGGCTAATGCGTCTCTGCTCCCTCCGCCGCCGCAGCCTTGCTTTCTACAGCGCTGGCTTCCTATGCCACCAGGGACAGTGGTACCAGCGCTGCAGCAGTGAGGACATCAGACAGTGGACAGCGTGGTAAAGTACAGTACCATTTACCGGTACACATTACAGTACCATTACATTAAGCAGTGCCTTCAGGGGGACAGCAGTTGGTGAAGTCTGGTACTGGAGTGCTCTCTGTCACTGCGCTGTCTGGAGGGAGTCTCCTGTCATCCCCTTAATACAGTATGTCCCTGCAGGCTGATACCATCTCTCCTGCAAGTTCCCCCTCGTATGCTACCACCAAACTAGGTCTTATTTTCGGGGTAGGTCTTATATTACAGGAATCTTGAAAAATAGTGCTAGGTCTTACTTTCGGGGTAGGTCTTATTTTCGGGGAAACACTCATCACACAACGTTATGCTAAATATATGAAATGGAATAATTCTGGATGCGCCTCATGTCTATATCTCTAATCCCAGGTTTATTGGGTTTATTATCCCATATTTAATTTTTCACAGGCGTATAATTGTTTCCTGTTTATCTACAAATGTTTACATGTCTCCCTGGTGACTGAAAATCCAAGAACTTTGTTTAGCAAAACAGTATAACCAGATCTCTTATAGTCACCACGTGGCCTTCCTTTCTACATTTTGTGACTTCTAATTTGCCATAAAGCATGATGGGTGACCTCAGTGCCTGACAGGGGGTTGGATAGTGGGAAGGGGAAAGCCACACCATGACCAGGAGAGATCTGGTCACTTTTACATGACAGTGTTCTGGATTTTGAGGCAATGGGGACTCTACACGTCAACTAATTATACATGTGTTATCATCCTACAGCAAGGTTACAACCTTTTACAAAATAACAATAAAGACACGCATATAAATAAAAGAAAAAATGTGTGCTTCTTGCTTTACCTTACTGTGACTGTACAATCATGTCTGATAGAAATAAAGAATCTTCTGCAGACTATGACTAAGGCCCAGTTTAGGGGCTGAAACATGTAAGCATTTGTTTGCGGCTTTTATGCCTTTTTGCAAACAAAGTATTGGATGGACGGATCCCCCTGGGATTGCCGGTTATTAGCTATTGCTTAGTGAAGGCTCTGGCGGAAGCTTTACCAGACACTGAGGTTCAAGCAGCGGGTTTGGAGACAAGAGGGTAGAGCTGCTGCATGTTTCTTTTTTTTTTTTTTACTTTCAATAGTTCTTTATTGAAGTCAAGTGAAGCATACATAACAAAATGCATATTGCTGCATGTTTCTTAATTGCTCCTGCAGACTATACCTCCCAGCCCCTGTCCATTCTGAGTAAGGGTTGACCGATATGTTTTTTTTCGGAAACCGATACCGATTATGGGCTACTTTTCAGGCCAATAACCAATATCAGGTACCGATATTCTGTTTACATCCAGCTGTGGAATCTTGCGCCGGGAGCTGAATGTACACCAGTCGATCCCTACTGATGGCAGTAGAGGGTAGCCTCCACTCCCCTCAAAGTGCAATGGCAGGCTGGCTATTGCACCCCCTAATGCCTGCTGTGTTTACATTCTACTTCTAGGTGCAGAATCTTGCCGCCAGCAGCTGTAGTTCCCCTTGGTTCCGGCATATGCTGTGGAAGCAACTCCTCTGCCCGCGCTGTACCCTGTCCCATTCATCTGCCAGCAAGACTCCAACAGGGGCTGGGAGCAATAGCCAGCCTGCTATTGGCTATTTCAAACTGCAAAAGCCAAAAGCAGGTTGGCTATTGCACCTGCCCACTGCCTAATGCCAATCAGCAGAGGAGCGGATCTGAAGGAGAAGGAAACATCAAGAAATCCCAGCTGTTTCTTTCTATTCTAAAAGTGGCCGTCGGCCGAAATCTGCACAGTGTATGGCCACCTTTATTATCAGTAATATCGGTAAATTTAACCGATACCAATAATTTAAAAACCTGTGGATATTGGCCCCGATTATCAGTAGATCCAATAATCAGTTGACCCCTAGTTCTAAGCTACGGACTTTCAGTTGCAGGACAGGAGAAAGTATCAATGGACTATAACTCCAGTGGCATCACTGCACTTGTACTCTATTGAGAATTACGAGTTCTTCTGCCTCCTTGGCCGACAGGACTTGTAGTTTATTACATTTACAGGTCCTGTAAATGGATGACACGGTTCTGTGGGCGGGGCCATGCACAGTCCCACTGAATAAAAAAAATGACAGGAACCTGCAGGGAAGTAAAGGGGAAGGGCTGTTCGGGGGTTGGGGGTGATGTGACCTGTGTTTCCTTTTACACCCTGAATAAGGATGTAACATGAAACATGGTAAGAAAAGTGGAGTTATTTCTTAAAACTTCTAACCATTAGCATGTATGAAAAACATAAACCTGGATACGGTGCAGTAAGGCAATAGACAATGTGCTTTGGGATTAAAAAATCACAGCGTACAGGAGATGGCAGTACAGCCTCCTGAATGCCGGGCAGCTGCTGCTCTAATGCCCTTTGAATAGCAATCCACCATAAATTGCTTTTCATAGGGGTGGTAAAGGCTGCCGCCCATCTGAACAAGGCCTAATAGAGCACCAGAGGAAATCGAGCGCTCAGCAAGGCATATGACAGTGCACACAAACACCTCTAGATGCAGCTTTCACTATATCAGATATGGATGAAGGATCTCTTACAAGACATCCAGAAAACCACCGGGACACTAAAGTTTATGCAAGGGCCATTTTTATATTAGTTTAGTTTTGGATAGAGTGAGTAAGGGTTAGACAACCTGTCCTATCAGAATGTTATTGTTGTCTGTTTCCATACTGTCAAAATTCACCTCTACATTTGTCCTGGTGACCATTGTCACTGAGGCAGAAAGTAATGGAAAACCAAAAATTTTAAGTTGTCATCAGAGCAAGAAGTGAGAGAAAATCGTCTGTTTAGGACACATGTCCCAATGACAACTCTCTAAGGGCCGGCGGTGGTACACGCTGTCAAGGAAACAATGCAATCCTCTAATTACACTACATCTCACTGTTTACTTTCATTCATTTCTATGCAACACAGTGCAATGCAGTGTAGGTCCAGCATGTCCTTGTCCACTGCAAAGCCAAGGGGTGAACCGACATCATAGGACAAATTGCCTTATATATGTGTTTCGGACCTGCGTTGGCTGCCATGTGGTGTGAATGGACCCTTACATGGGAATTCTGTTTACTTTAGAGAGATTGGCTCTCAATTCTTGTTGTGTCTCCAGGAGAGGAAGTGAAGATAAATTGACCCAGCAGGACATAGGCAAAAAAATTACCAGATAGGGGTTTTAACTAAGGATTCACGGATATCATTTTTCCAGACCAAATACAAGATACTTTTCTGCAAGTATTCGCAGATACCAATTACCATGTTATGTGACTAATAATAATAATAATAATAAACAAATGGTTTGAGGACAGTGGTAGAGTGCCAGGACCCGGTCCCAGTTGCAACAGGTGTGCCACTGGTAGTTCTGCCACTGACTCCAAGCTGTAGAGGAACTACAAATATCAGCAAAACATTCTACAACAATGCAGAATACAACCAGAAATAGAGGACTACAAATCTCAGCAATACATTATACAGCAATGCAGAATACTATCAGCCATAGAAGACTACAAATCCCAGAAAAACATACATTAATGCAAAAAAAATACCATCAACTAGAGAGGACTACAAACCCCAGCAATATATTATACAGCAATGCCGAATGGCAACCAGCTATAGAGGAACACAAATCTCTGTAATGCATTATACATCAATGCAGACTTATATGGAGCTACATACTTTGTGCTACTTCGTGGTGCTGTCCTGATGTCTCCAGTGGAGGATCTCAGGTGGCTGTGCGGGGTCTCAGGAGACTGTGCAGGGTCTAAGATGTGCTTGCGGTGTCTCAGGTGAGCTGTGCAGGGTCTATAGTCAGCTGTGCAGGGTCTCAGGTGGCTGTGC